TGAGTCTAAGAAGTGAGAAATGTCAAGGTCAACCTTTTACGACAAAATAGTATGCGCAGGGAGATTTTTTAAGATACAGCCATAATAGGCTCAAAAAGACTCTTCGACTGGGTTTACAGCCTGGCATGTGCCTTCAAAAGTCAAATGTTAGTCTCCCCAATGAAAAATTTTATATTCCGAACAAATTATGACTGTAGGATCCATTTGGTAAATGGCAAGATTTTCACCAGAACCTCCCCTTAAAATAAAATAAAACTTTGCAATATATTTTTTTTTTCGTTTCCTTCCCAGCACTGTGCCGCAATTTCAGTGGGAAGCACGAGGGCGCGCCTGAAAATGGTCTTGTAATTAAAACGAAATGCCTACACTTGAGTGCGCGTGAGGGCTGACGTTTTTTCGAGTCCGGTTAAGGCCACCGAGGAACCGTCCACGATAGTAACTGGAGCTAACCGTGGTCGGCTGGTCGCACCACTGTCATCTTAAACCTGTCACACCGGGGGAAGACCGGGACACTGCCAACGTCTGGGAATTTCTGACAATGTAAAGACCGTTTACTGCCTTTCATTTATGTGAATTTTCACACGGGTCGGTCGGCGGAAGTGCCCAGGACCATGAGGCCCCGTTGTGCTTAGACGGCTGTCCGCGAGGGGGCAAAAACTCGGGATTTTCGTGTACACATGATTCGGAAAACGCAATGATTGCGCACGGTTTTAATTGATTTCATGGCTGATTTTGCCTTATTTCGCGACGCACCAGGGTGCACTGAGAAAACCTTACAAACTATTTTCAGCCTTACAAAGAAAGTAGTTTGTATATCAAAGTATTTTGAGCATACGTAAGCTTACAAAGAAAATACTTTGTAATTTACGAACTATTTCTTCGTATAACAAAGTATTTTAGTTTGTTATATGTACGCTCAAAATACTTCGTAAGGTTTTAAGAGTGTGATGTTGAGCGTGATTGCGTGTGATTGTGTTCGGAAAGAAATGATTTCGGACTGATTTGGCCTGGTTTCGTGTGATTCTGCCTAATTTCGGTCGATTTTAGTGATTTTGGCTGATTTCGGATTGCTTGATTTCGCGCGATTCTCAATGATTCTTGTGTGATTTCGGGGGCCGTGTACACATGATTGCGCGAGTTTTTGCCCCCTCGGCTGTCCGCCGAACGGCTTGCCGTCCCGCATGTTTGACGCTCCTTTGTCAAATCAAATCTAATGAGGATTTTATAACAGGACAAGGAATATACTAGCAAGGCAACGTTAAATTTCACGTAGAATATCATATTATGGTCAGTTGTGTTAATTATCCCAGGATGCCCCGGTTAAAAGAGGATATGCAACTCAGAGTTAGGTTATGTCACCCGTGACGTGCGCCTCGCGCTGTGCTTCGACGGCAAACCCCTTTCGGCGGTATTCCTTCGAAGGTTCGAGATAAGGTTTAGCGTGATACCATTTGAAAGTGATGAAAATACTATCAACGATGTTGGCTGAAGCCTGTTACTCGGGTGGGGTTGGACAGTTTTTCCTCTCTGTGTGTGTCTGTCTGTCTGTCCGCACTACTACTCCAGAACGGCTCGGCCGATTCGGCTGAGATTTTGCAGGGTCATTGGGTATGTCCTTGGCTAACTCTTTAGGTACTCTCAACTTTTATGCAAGTTCCATAATCCCCCCCCCCCCTCCTATGTTTTTGAGGGTGCTGATGACGAAAATAGAACCTATTCTGACCCCCCACCCAAAGTTAAGTCCCAATAATGTAGATTTTAGTCACCAAATGCTATTTTTGTCCGGATCACGCCCATTTCTACGGATTGTCTAGGAAAGCAGCCTGCCGAAGGCAGGTTAGCGCCGCAGGCCAAGGTATACGCCAGGCGTGGAATGTCGAAACTGGCGCAGCATCGCGAGGCCGAAGCCGTTACCCAAGACACTGTTTGGCCACCTTGTCATAAAGTGACAACAAATTTTTGGCTGAGCCAAACTTTATCTTTATCTTTATCTTATACGTTAACTGGGCGAAGCCCTCCATTCAGCCCACAGCCCAGAGCCCAGTGGAGATGCCGGGACTTGGCGGGACCCAGCCGGTTGTCAAGTTTACTTTCGATCTTTAGGCGTGTTAAAACCACGAAAGTAGCATAAAATGTATATGCATGGAAAGGGGAAAGTTCAAAGATTACATTGACGCTAATTTTGACGAAAATAAACTCTTTATGTGAAAATGAGAAGACGACGGGCGTGAAATGGCGAAGGGGAGAGAAGGCGAAAACGATCGTCGGGCCGTCGTTTACTCGCATCTTTGAGCATGTTAGAACGCCGAAAGTGGCACAAATTGTATATTTATGGAAAGAGGAAGGTTCAAAGATTACATTGACGCTAATTTTGACGAAAATAAACTCTTTATGTGAAAATGAGGAGACGACGGAGCGTGAAATGGCGAAGGCGAGAGAAGGCGAAAACGATCGTCGGGCCGTCGTTTACTCGCATCTTTGAGCATGTTAGAACGCCGAAAGTGGCACAAATTGTATATTTATGGAAAGAGGAAGGTTCAAAGATTACATTGACGCTAATTTCCGTGAAATTGAACTCTTTAGTGAAAATGAGGAGACGACGGAGCGTGAAATGGCGAAGGCGAGAGAAGGCGAAAACGATCGTCGGGCCGTCGTTTACTCGCATCTTTGAGCATGTTAGAACGCCGAAAGTGGCACAAATTGTATATTTATGGAAAGAGGAAGGTTCAAAGATTACATTGACGCTAATTTCCGTGAAATTGAACTCTTTATGTGAAAATGAGGAGACGACGGAGCGTGAAATGGCGAAGGCGAGAGAAGGCGAAAACGATCGTCGGGCCGTCGTTTACTCGCATCTTTGAGCATGTTAGAACGCCGAAAGTGGCACAAATTGTATATTTATGGAAAGAGGAAGGTTCAAAGATTACATTGACGCTAATTTCCGTGAAATTGAACTCTTTACGTGAAAATGAGAGGACGACGGGCGTGAAATGGCGAAGGCGAGAGCGCACTAGCTGAACTGTGAATAGCATGATCCTGCCAATAGTGAAGCGCAGAGTCGTTCGAGCAGAAAGCAGAATTCAAGAAAATAATAACATTCTTTCAGATAACTTGACACTTTAACTGTACTTATGATTGTTCGTTCACCATAATTGTAACGTGGAATCGAAGGAAATGAGTACATGAAACCTGCATTCTATTGACACATCTCACCGTTCATAATCTTAATCTTAATAATGGAATAATATTTTACCAAATTTGATTGGTTATGCATTCAAAGTAGTTTCTGCAAAACGATTGAAATTTATTATCATACATATTATCAAACATCTAACACTGGCACATGTATCACAGTGTCTTGTGTTTTTCTTGTAGACTAATATTCATTTCACAAAAGTTTATGATGCCAAGCGATAGATCAAACGAAATTAAAGACCTTATTCTGCGGTCATTCAAAAATATAAAAAGAGACAAGGAGAATCTTCAGGGGAATATATGGCCCTTGCCACTTTCTCTTGTCGGTGGATGTAAATTGTGAGCGCTTAAAGGCGTTCTGTGGGCAAAGGCGTTCTGTTGGGGTAGGCGTTCTGCCTGCCTAGGGGGATGTTATGTGTTAGGTGGCCTTTGCCACTTGTTCTTAAAATTACACATAAACTGTTGGTGCGCAGTTGTGTGGGTTGCACAAAGGCAACTAGAAAAAGAACAAACAGCTACAATCTATCTGATAGAGAACTTGATACCTTTGCAACCAATGACGTTCCTTAGCTTTTATTTGTAATGTGAAACTGACGGAAACATTGTCATTACATCTGTATTTTATTGACTTATATGCAATCAAAGAAGTTCCTGTTAAGGTTATTGTAAAGTGAAAAAAGTGACTATTTAATATTTTTTATTTACTTGTGTCAAATGTCTTAATTTATGGATAAAAGTTCCTTTCTATTGCATAAACTCATACACTAAGAGCAGGGCCCCACTTCATTTTAGTTTCCGAGTTATGGATGTTTACGGTAACTTTCAGTCGTTTCTCTCAAATTCTCCTCACGACAAAGGATTAGCTACCCAGTCCCCAGATTCAAGCAATTGTATTCTTCTTTGCCTAGGGAAAAGATAGCGTTGCCCTTTTTTCAATATGTCACTTAGTTTTCTTCAAAATTCCAAGACCAAAATAAGACAAAATCTCTCAAATTTGAAGAAAGATAAAAATGGGCCTGGTGAAATAGCTTTTACAGCCTGTTCCAGACTGATATTTTCAAATTTGCCCACGCCATCTTTTTCCAGTGCAATAATAGATATACTTGTCCGAATCTGAAAACTGGGTAGCAAATCATTTGTCATGAGGAGAATTTGGGAGAAACGACTAAAAGTTAACGTAAACATCCATAACTCAGAAACTAATAGGAGTTGGGGCTCCCAACTTCAGAAATAAATTCACCTAGTAGTGGTTGAATTTTGACCACAAAATGAACTTTCTGTGACAAATACTTTTAGGACATTCTAGTTTCACTTGACAGCCTCCTTAATCTAGAGATGTTAGGTGGCCTTTGCAGTACAAGGTCATAAATTAAATAAATGTACAGAGCTAAAATCCTAGCGGCACGGGGTATCGCCGCACGCTTCACGAGGCACGATGGGTTGCCTACCCACTGGGCTGATTCCTGTTCCAGCCGAGCCCACCTAGCGTCAAAGACATCAATGATCGTCACAGACCCACTTTCCGGAACACAATAGAATTTTTTTCAACCTGGATACGGTGCGACGTCATAGTAAAAATGACAGCACTGTTAAATTAATCCAGAAACATCCTTAATAAATTAAACAAATGCTTAAAAATTGTCACTTTCTTAGCGACATAGAGGAAAATTTGAAAAATAAATTACAAATATGTAAACGTAGGAGCCCTTAGGCTCAGCCTGAAGCGGTAGCTTTTCCTAGTAAGTGTGCACTGGTCAATTAATTACGATGCAGACTGCCTGCTGTCCAGTGGTCCGCGTGCCTACCTGGACGACTCCAGTGGCGACCCTGAGGCCGGCGACCGCTGCCCAGCCGCCGGTGGTCGCGGCCAGGGGCACCAGGGCGGTGAGGGCGCCGCTGAGGAAGAGCGCCGCCGTGAGGATGCGGGTGGCGCCGCCGCGCGAGGACAGTGTGCCGCCCGCCACCTGGCTCAGCATGTAGCCCCACAGGAAGCAGCCCAGCACGGTGCTCTTCTCCGCCGGCAACCAGTCGAACCGCTGCAACACGACAAACGCGAACGGTCGCATACACTGCCAATCCAAGTGTGAGACAGTTTCACACTCGTAGGTGTGGGACACACTGCAGGAAATAACCACAAAAATACACAAACTTCTGGCAAATTTTTTATCAGGAATTTAGTGTACTTTTTAAGTACAACAATTGTTGTACAAAGGACAACGGAACCAGCATGACGAGTGCTGGGCAGTCCAGGGCTGGTTGTGGTTTGTACAATTCTCGTTGTACTTTCTACAATCCCTGTTGTACTTCTATTGTATAGTTTTTGTTGTACTTTTGTTGTACTATCCACACTTTTACTTGCAGTGCACATTGTCTCACGCACATTTGTGAGCCACGTTTGTCTCACGCTTGCAAGTGTGGGGGTAGATGATACATTTCAACCCTCAAGTCCATGTCAGCACCACCACTTTCACTATTTCAATAAAACCCTCTCAAAAGTGTCCGAAGTTACCCCGTTTCACGGTATCTGTCAACATTGACAGGGGAATCCGGTTAAGGTGGACAGAATGTTGGTTGTGGCGACGTTAGCCTCCCCATTAGCCTTGCGTTTCGGGTAATGCCGACTTCCACCGGACGGGTTCGGGTAGGGTGGGCACTCTTTGTTGGCCGAGGGGTGGGCGCGCAGCAACGGCTCACACAGTTCAGATCACACCATGCCGCCAGTCCCGGACAGAGAAAAATTTGAAGAGCAGCTGTTGGCGCTTATCAATAGCAAGAGGGAAGACAACTCTGCCTTCCTCGGCAATGAAAAGTATGATGAGATTGTGCGGCAGCCGAAATCCGGCAAGAAAAAGGGCATGGTGAGGGCGGACTATCGACGCATCACGCTAAAACTTTTTTCGAAAAGCCTCGCCGAAAATTCGGCGTATATAGCCTTCTTCGGCGGACAACTGTCGCGCCGCGTCTAAGTTCGGTGGAATCACCCGCCGAACGCCGCCGAAAGCCGATGACGCGGCCGATGAAGGTCCGCCGAAGCTCGGCGGGAGTGCCCGGGCCCATGAGGCCCCGTTGTGCTTCGACGGCCTTTCGCCGAACGGCTTGCCGTCCATGTTCGACGCTCCTTCGTCAAATCAAATATAATTGTGATTTAATGTAACAGGGCACGGAATATACTAGCAAGGCTACGTAAAATTGCACGTAGAATCTTATTTTAGGGTCAGTTGTGTAAATTGTCCAAGGATGCCCCGGTTAAAAGCGGATATGCAACTCAGAGCTAGGTTATGTCAGCCGTGACGTGCGCCTCGCACCGTGCTTCGACGGCAAACCCCTGTCGCGATTCTTGCCGTATTTTCAGCGGTACTTATTCCTTCGAAGGTTCGAGAAAAGTTTTAGCGTGATGGCCAAGTACGCTGTAGTGAACCTGGCCGGCGACGACAAACTCATCGTGCCCGTGGCAAGGCAAGGCCGCATGATTGAGTATGTAATGAACGAACACAGCGCTGCTCGAAGTCCACCAAGACGTCGATCATGGGGGGCGCAACAAGATGATGCCCGCTCTCAAGGAAAAGGACGCTAATGTCGGCCAGGACACAGTCATGCTGTTTCTCTCCCTGTGCGGTATTTGCCTGCCAAAGCGCCAAGCCAAGAAGCGCGGAATCGTCGCAAAGCCGCTCTTCTTCAATCAATTGAACGACCGAGTCCAGGTAGACTTGGTGGATTTCCATTCGCGGCCAGATGGGGAGCATAAATTCATTTTTAACTACCAAGATCACCTGACAAAATTCGTTATTCTGGGAGCCCTGAAGCCGAGGACAGCCGACGAAGTCGCCCAGCTTGTCCTAGACATCTTCCTGCTCTTTGGTGCCCCCTGCGTCGGGACTCCAGGTGCGGATGCATAAGTTTTCTCAGTGTACATAAAATTACAAAACACCTCATAATTTACGAACTTCATACAGCATTCTTAATAAATTTTTTGTACCTTACATGTCATATGTGCTAAAAATACTTCTTGAGGTTTGCAGCGTGCCCTGAAATGATTGCTTCCTCCCAGCCCGGAATTTCCGAACAGTAATTAGCTAGGATCACGGTGCGCAAACATAAGATTAGTTTGTAATTTTTTGAGTTTTATTTTTGGAGCATTAGAGATAAAAAAAAGTTACAAATAGAATAACATAAATTATTCATTTGATCTTAAATTAAAGGCATTCTGTGAATATTATTTTTAAATCTGTGTCCGTTTTCAAGAAAAAGCCGCCCCAAATATCAATTAAAGTTAACTTTGCGTGCCCTGGCTAGCGTGCATGTTGAACTTGCCTGCTGGCCGTCACCGTTGTCCGGGGCCGTCATGTCCACCACGGCCACCGACAGGCACACCCTGTGCGTGATGGCAGTGCTGAGGGCGGCGAACAGAACGAGGACCTCCACATGGCGCCAGCCCCAGCCTGCGACCAACAGGGTTCGTGCCGCACTGTTTACAAAGGTTGTTATACGCCACAACAGCAGTCACCAGCCTCAATAAAGCTATATTTCATTAACAAGTTTCGTGAAAAGCAGCTTGTTATGAGAAAGTATTTGGAGCATACATAAGTTTACAAAGAAAATACTTTGTAATTTACGAACTACTTCTTCGTATAACAAAGTAGAGTAGTTTGTACCATGTATGCTCAAGATACTTCGTAAGGTTTTGAGCTGCACTTTTATGACTCCTGAAAACGCTTATAATTTAAAACGTTCCAGAAGAAACGCGAACTTTGGTCGCAGAATACACGAGAGAGTTTACAGTCCATTTGTGCCGCAAACGAGATTCGAGACGCATGACAGTATCTTTTTGGCTGTACAGATGTGTTGTCTTCAGCAGTTTGATTGATAGCGAGAGATATTCGCTTGGTTTTGTTGCTAGATTTTCATATTTCATAAGAAAATTTTGTACAACAAAAGGAGAGCGTTCCACGATTCGCGTGGAGTTCTCAGCGCTGGGCGTTTCAGTGATGTACAGTTCATTTCATGCTCACGTTTCGCCGCCGCCGCGTGCAGTGCGTCCTTCATGCTGCGTCTCGAGGAAGTGGCCCGGTGCCCAAAGTGGCGGCCTCATCACACTGCGAGCGGCGAGATAAATGCCTACACGATAAGCTTACATAATCCACTCCCTTTACTGGCTTCTCATACCCTCTAGATTAAAGCACATCGTGACATTTTAGAACGCGTCGTTAAATCTGGTTCGGTTGGCACGTGTCAGTGGCCTAGCGACAGGTGGGCGACTTAGTGCTGCCCAGGCCTTCGGTTTGGTGACTAAGGAAACACTGTGAGAAAAAAGTACGGAACATGTCTGGTCAATAATTTGCCTGGACCGTCCGTACTTGCCAACTACGGAACGTTCCGTACTTTTCTCCGTACCTCCGTACTATATTTTTCTGGACCATTTCCGTCCAAAAGTACGGAACGTTTTACAATGAATGCTCCAAGTTTTTTGGTTGTCATGAGGTGGGATTTTGGACAATATTTGAGAAGCATGTTTCATGAGTCAAAATTTCGCAGTTTGCCCCAGTAAAGCCTTCAAGAGTTAATACTTCGGACAGTTGGCAGAAAGTCTTCTGAAAAGTCTTCTGCGAGGCCTTGTTTTGTTAAATCAGGAAAAAATTCTACTGTGATGTGTTGTTGTACAAAGCACAATGGGACAGGCATGATGAGTTCAGTCCGAGTGCACAACGGTACTCAGGTTTAAAATCATGCATTACCACGTGCAAAATTGTACGTGAACATTAATCGTGTGTACAGTGGGCCAGAAGACCGGTGAAGGCGGTCAAAATCCCATACGCGTTTTGAGCTGCAGAGTCGCTAAATGATACTGGAACGTGTGACCACACCGATGTGTTACTCTTCAAGCGAGGATTCACTTGTTGGGTCACACGCTCGGTTCGAGTCCCGTTTAGCGACTGGAGCTGATAACGCGTCCATAATTTTGTCCACCGGTCTTTGGTCTGTATCGTGATAATATCAGAAAATCCACAAGCTATAAATATCAGTCAGGGACGAGGTAGAGCGGCTGATATTGCCATCCGCAAGGGATTATAACGTGTAACGTACAACAAACAGCAACATGCAACTCTTGCAGCGGATGTGCTGGATTTAGCACAGAATCCCGACCTTGACACAGATGACACAAAAGCCCGCTTGTTCTAAATGCACTTCGTGAACCGTTGCCGCTATGCCGTCATGTCACGCGTTCCGAACACCAGTTTCCACTGCCCGCACTTCTCGCTCCGTCTCCCTCGCACCCATGGAGTCTGCCGTCACGGAGTGAGAAAGACAGAGCGAGGAATGCGGGTGGCGGCATCGCTCGACAGCAGTGTCGACGACGATGTGGTTTCAGTCTTGCGTCTCGTTCCGAAGCCATAAGCCATGTCTGCTCTCTGGGTGCTTCTTCTTGCAGTCAGCCTTGACTTGAGCGGCGGTGATAGAATCAACTCCTTTGCGGTAAAGAGGAAAGCGGGGGGCATTCAAAACTGGATTCACCCCAATAAATGAGCTACACTCGTAAAACAAAGGCATGAAACAACGGGATAGACAGTCGTTAGATGCCCTTGGGAAAGGCGACAATTGGAATGGGACTTTCAGGCAAAATGTTGATGGCCTTCCAAAGGCATTAAACGATTCATGTCGTTCGAGAGGCGTAAATCGCCAACGCTCTTGAGGGCATAGTTTTGACGCCTTTATGTCACGAGTGTGAATCAACTTCGTAATACAAAAGCATTTCGTCATATATTTTAAAAAGCCTTCGTTTTCTTCGTGTTGCGAAGCGATATGCTGAGCTGCCTTGTCAAAGCCACACTCCGTTAGGACCCAAAATTCAGACCCTATTTTTATCGAGTGAAAATAGATTTTATAACTAGGCAAAAATAAGGTGATATTGTGGCGTTTCACCATTCTCTTGAAGTGTAAAACCTTGTTGTCACCAGTGTCAGCTCATGACAAAATCGTTGATGACTTTTCGTCACTGTTAATGCGCGGTAAAAAGGTTCGTGATTTCCCCAGGATTTCCCTGGAAACTCTTTACTTAAGGCTACCTGGGAAATCCAGGAAATGTTTTTGCCGTGTGATGACCATTCGATTTTATCACCAAATGATGAAATTATCATCAAAGCGGTTATACTTCTTGAATGGGCGTGATAATATTGTCATCAACTGTGTTGAGGACATTCTCGTAAGGGAAGTTTGCCTTTGCATTGGTTGTCACCAAGTAACCACCAATATTTTTACAGTACGATTTGTTGAAAGGTTTAATACAACCGACATTTCTGTAACCCTTCAAGGGCCCATTTCGCGTTGTGCCTGACCACCTGGAGGATTGCCCACCTGAGATGCAGCCCCTCAAAGAATATTACAAACTGCGCTACAGCGCAGCTAGGGACCGCAAGGTGCAGGAAATCTGGTACTACACAGGAAACCTCACCACTCACTTCAGATTCGACGACAGCTTGACGGTTAGTACTGTTCAGCACGTGCTGACGAGAGTCAGCTGAATCTTGGGATAACGTACACACACTAAATGCTTATAGACCTTTATCCATATCTGCGGCAGTTTCTGTGCATCCTGAAGTAATGCATCAATTTTTTTTGTACATAACTTAGGTACAATTTTTTAAATACTTAAGCACAATGTAGAAATATTGTCCCTAATGTATGTACAAATTTGTACCTAACTTCCGTATGCACATAAGCAGCCATAGCTATGGACAATAAAAGTACATAAACATTTTGTGGGGTAACTTGCGCGATATTTCATGTTTAGTGGACTGTGCACGAGCAATGAAAAGAACACTATCCCCTGAGTAAAAAATTCCAATGCTAATCGCATTGCACGGTCGGTGTTCCTATTTTCATAACTGGTAACTGATAATTTAAAATAGAATTATTTAGATAGGGGGAGACTTGGTAGATGAGCCTGTTACGCTTGATTTCAAGCGTATACTGATTACGCTTGAAAACAGAGGATAATACTATGCTTCAGTTTTACCAGTGCTGTTCTACAGCATTGAGGAAAACATGACAAGAGAACCGCAGCATTCAAAAGCAGGCCAAACAATCCAACCTCAGCAACAATGAAGGGGCAATTTCAATGCGCGACTACACTCGTTTTTCCAGCCTCGCGAACGGGCGCAGACGCCGAGAAAATTGATGCCAACCTACGAAAATTAATTTATTGCGTCCTTTCTGCTACGAACTTTTTACTTATGACAAACTTTAAAGATGCTTTAATGTTGGGACACGGGCAATGCGTTAGCATTGGCATTTTCGGAATTTCACGGCGTTTTGATTTCTTTTTATCGGCGACTTTAAATTTTGACGGGTGGCATGATGGGACGGTGCCGTTGCCATGGCGATTTTTTTCCACGTTTTAACCATTTTGTCATTTTGTCATTTGAACACAGACGATTTCTTGTTACTTTGATGAGCCAGGAGGTTTAGTTTTGAGTGGCACATTCATCATTTGAACTATTTTTTGATAGCATCAACTATTCTCGTTTTCGATTGTTGCACATTTGTTTTTCTAGTTGACGGTCAATTTCCACGATAATTATCTAAATAAATTGGCAATTTTCGTTTATTTTATGGTTGAAATAGTTTACCGATATTTATTTGAAAATCGAAGAGGGTGGGGGGGAGGAAGCTGCAGATGGAAAACAAAAGGGGTTCTTGGGGACCCCAAGAGAGGTAGGAATTTTCGCAAATCTGTTGCAGTTTTTCTTTGGCAAGGGAGGCGAAAATTCTTGGCTGAGCGATGATGAAGCCTACCCCCGAGTTGGGATCCGGAATACTTTGGTCGTGCGTCTGCGTGTTGCGTTTCACTTATGTGAGGAATTCCCTAGCCTTCGAAATCGTTTTCACTAATTGCCCAAGTTGAAAACTCTGGATGTTTGTTGGCAGGGCCATGCCAACGTGGCGTCATGGAGTTCTCGCGGGGGCTGGATTGACAACGCCCACGTTTTAACGTCGCCCAGAATTTGCAGCACGATAAGAGAAAGGCTACCCGAAGCCTGGCGGACGTTCGTCGTTGCCATGTTCAACAATCCGCTTCAAGGTTGTCCGTTTCCAGCGGTAAGCTTGACGAATGTGACGTGGCGTTCGCTGAAACAAGGGTAAATCACTGCGAATTTCGATGTTTATATCCGATGAATTTCAGTTAAATTCCGGAGAATTTCAGTCGAATTTCGATGAATTTTAATGTTTTGGTGAATTTTACATGTTTGATGAATTTCGGTGCACAAATTTGGCTGGAGCTAATTCCTCTTGCGCTGGAATGTAAATGTTTGACAGTAACATGGCCATTTTAAGGATGTCACATTTGAACGTGGTCTAACATTTTAACGAATGTGACATCAGACTGCAAATTGGATGGAAAGACCTCGCGCCACAATACGGCGAGACAGCGAGACAAAGTCTCGCCAAAATTTGGTCAGTCAAAAAAGTCTCGCCACAAAATGGTCTGACCATGGTCTTTAGACTGTAACCGTCCGGCGCATAACGGCCTTTGGGTGGCGGTCAGACACAAAAGTCTCGCCGTTTAGAGACATTTGTGTCCGACCATTTTGTGGTAAGACTTTTTTACCTGACCAAATTTTGGCGAGACTTATGGCGAGAAGTGTGTCCCTTGGATTTGTATTGCATATTCAATCAAATGTCACTCTAGCAGGGTGCGAAAACTTAACGTAACCGGTAACTTAACGGAAATTCGGAAGATACCATTACTGCCGTTATTTTAATTTTGTTAGTTAATGTTAGTAACAAATATAACATACGATTGAAACATTAACGATAAAATTATACCCACATCTAATCAGGTAGATAAACAACGGTAAATAGCTTTAAACGGTTATAGAGAATGACGATTATTGAAATTAACCTTCATCATTGGAGAATCATTAATAACGTTAATTGTGGCCTATCGTTTTTAGGTTGCAGTTCACATCAATAATCGCAAAACCGTTCCGATTTAACGTTATATTTTATATTACACGATGCGCTTCTTTTCTCCTTCCGCTGCGCTGCGTCTAGGCGTACGGCTTGATGAGTGCCGCAAGAGTCGTATAGACCCCTTTGGGGCCCCCAGAGGAGACTTAAGGACTCGAAGCGCCGAGTTATCGTGGACGCGATTTCTTATAGCTCGGCGAGGATAGCCGTCTAGCCTTGCTTCGCTTGCCCGCTATGATAACGATAAAACAAATTATTGTTATTAATATGAAATGTAACCGTTAATTTTGCTACAGGATTATCGTTACTACGGAATAACCGTTATTTTGCTAAACCAAAACGAGTTGTTCCTCTCAAAAATGTTATCTTTTATACCGTTTAAATGTTTATCCACAGTTATTGTTTCTATGAATTAACGTTAATCCTTTTACAAATGTTTGCGGTTATTGGTTGTACCTTTAATAAATAACAAAAGCGTTATTTCCGTTATTTTGGTTAAGTTATCACACTCTGGTCTCGACACCGTTCAAATAAGTTTTAATCGATTGCAATGCCTCCTGAACATTGACCACGTTTACGGCTGAACGAGAATCGTGTTTGTCGTTCCCGTCAAAACGACCTCGTTACAATCGATTTTTATATTTTTTAGTCAGATTCTCGGGCAAGGAATCGGTTTTCAGCTGAAATGTCGACTTTGTAGCGTTATCATTTCGCGAGTATCATCACTGTTAAAAAAAAAGTCGAAATTTTCAGACTTTTTAGGATGAAGTCAATTTTGAAACCCAGTGGTCTGAATTTTTAGACCCCCGGACACTCTGAATTTTTGGACCACCTGTCGTCTGAATTTTCAGACTAGCATGTACCTTGAATTTTACGACTACCAGGTAGTCTGAATTTTCGGACTAATGGCAGTCTGAATTTTTCACCTCGCGGGTTTGAATTCTAAGCCGCCCAGGTAATAAAATTACCACTTTTGTCAGGATGTATATTATGTTTTGGAGATGCATATTTTAAATTGCTGAGAAACATGGAATGCATGCACTAAATAGAGCAGTTGTAAAACAGCTCTTTTTGTTAAATGTAGCAACCAAAGTTGCGCAAAACTTTAACTAGATATGATATTTTGCTGAGAGAGCTTCCCAAACAAAAAAACTAGTCCTCGAATGTAAGACTCCAGAAGATGCAGCTGTAAACACTGGAAAGCAGCATGTTGGATCCAGAGGCACACTTTGTGGAAACTTTTTCGGCACGATGAAAATACTTTGGGGACGAGGATGAAAGAGGAGTGACAAATTTCCAAAACGCCACCCACTCCCTCATCACCCGTCCCTTCTTGAGAGGAAAAGGGGAGGAGTGCACGCTGCCGCTGCCCGTGGGCCGAGGTCTGTCGCTTCCAGAGCTTCCGCCGACCGCCGCCAGGAGAGGACACTTGGCGCTAGGGTCGCGCCGAGCCGGTCGTCTGCGGGCTCGAGTCTGCAGGCGCCAAACCACATTTTGGTGCATGCAACTAGGTGAAAATTAAACGCGTGAGACCCAAACAGAGTATTGCCGTGGGTTCTTCAGAGCTTTAAGTGGTGGAAGATTTCACAAATAAGTAGAATCTTTTCAAATACAACGCAAAATAAATGAAAACTGTCAGTAAGGTAGCCGCCAAGAGCGCCCTCCGTGGCCAACGGCGAATGGTGGAAGCTCTGGAAGCGACAGACATCGGCCCACGGCTCCGAACGGCAGTTTACGGCAAATTATTTATATTTAGGATTTTTTCTCTCAAAATTTAAGTTGATCTTCCACTAGTTCAAGTATTTCTGTATTAAAAAAAAATTGCCCGTGACCCTTTTGAAATCAGCCGTAGCCTAGCGAACCTGCACCAATTAGGTCTGCATTTTCGACCTACTTCTCCTCCCCTGTTCCTCCAAGGTCCCTTTAGTTTGGAAGACGCAATATCAGCATAAGGCTACGCCACTTTCACAGCCTGCTTGCCGCGGATTTCGGATGCTTCAGAGTGGTGACTGCACGCACCCGAAGCAATTTTGGAGCACGGAAAGGTGAAGGCAAAACGGCACTGTACACACTGTGCTGAGCGCCGATGTAACACATAAAACGTTGCTTCACGACGGAGCGTCACAAGAAAGATGACACGCGACGCGGACTTGTATTCGGATGCGATGTGCACTGCTCTGGAGACAAGCTAAAACTGACGCATTCTGTCTAGAAATCCCGAGTGGCCGAGGGATTAAGGGCCCCCTCCTCTCCCCCCGCCCTGCGCAGGTAGGCTTCGGCCGGCACGCCGGTCAGCGGTGATTTTCCGAACGCCCCGGCTCGGCTCGGTGTGCCTGGCTCGGCTGGCCGCCGCCGGAGCGGCTCGGCTCGGGTGACCCGGGCTTCGGTCCAGGCCGGCGCCAGGGCAAACATGTCGCATCCTGCAGCTACCAGCGGAGTGCAGGCCGATTTTAAACTCAACACTAGACGGCCGTTCGCTTAGCTGAGCAAAAGTTCATTTACTACTGCTCTAGCAATTCAGGGTCCATAGCACCTGAAACGCAGTCATGCCTTTTATCAGAAAATAAAGCGTCAACTTCAGACTGCGCAGGATGAAAATTCAGACCTTCTACTACAAATGACTGTTTTAAGACCCCGACGCCGAAAATTTATACCGCGCCATCCAAATATTCAGACTCTTGTGTCCGAAACTCATTTTTCAGACCACAAGGTGTAAAATTAAGACCAACTGTCTGAAAATTCTGACTCAAGTCTGAATTTCAGATTCAGACCACTAGGTCTGAAAAAATTGGTCTGAATTTTCAGACTTTTACTGAACTGGAGAGAATGAACGTTTACTTTCCAAATGGTCATAGCCTTTTAAGTCCTACACCCTTATAGGTAACCATCCACAATTCAAGGGGTTCTTGTCAAAAGATCTTATCTGGGCGGTCCCCCCAAGACAATTTTGTCTTAAACGCAGGTGAATTTCACTCATTTTGACCATTTAGGACGTGTACGCGAGTAAGCGGAATATATTTCTACATGCACTAATTGATTCTCTGATCTTTCATCTTAACATATCAGTGAACGCCCAGATAAGATCTTTTGAATAGGTCCCCTCGAATTCAAAGGAAACAGTGTGTGAGATCGGTCACAGAATACTTAAGAAGTTTCCATTTTACTGGCGCCGCAGATCCTTTCGCATATGTTACAGGACACTTACCATATCGTCAACATGTCGACAAACATGAACTTCAACTACCCGCCAACATTTTTTTACGGCAAATGGAGATCCACCGTGAAGCTCATGCGAACATCCTCCAATGAAGTTTTGGGGTGCATTCGAGCCTTTTTCTCTACATTACCCAAATTAAGGCATCGATGAGAAGATCTAACACGCAATAGTGTAATCATTGTGTAAACAGCAGTAGCACCCTGGACGGAGTAACTCACTTAAGTTTGTTAGTGATGCCAGGGCACCAGTTAAAACTCCTGCCACTGCAAAAAAATGTCCTGTCAATGCCCTTTATTTATTACCAGTTTTCACTGCAGTACACACTTATCATCTTACGATGGCAACGCGAACGTAACATACGCTGAAATCAAAACATGCGTATTACGCTGAAATGTCATCGTACTACAATCGCAACCAACGTACCTTACGTTTACAACGTGCGTAATATATTACGCACGTTGAAAACATGCGTATTACGTTGAAAATCCTGCGTACCTTACGTTCACATTCGTGCGTATTATGCAGGTTGGAAGTTGGTCGTACCTTACGATGGAAAATCACCGTATTACGCACGAAAATCAACGTAAGATGATAAGCGTGTATTCACAGCGTTTACTGTGATCTGCTCACGCGATTCACTGTGATCTTGTTCGCGGTGTTCACTGTGATCTGGTCCACAGTAAACACTGAGTTTGACGCCGCTGAGCACCGAAGTACTGCAAATCTGGCTCCAATTCACGGCGTTAACTGTGGCCAGATCACAGTGAACACTGACCGAGATCACAGCGAACACCGTGAACTAGTTCAGCAAACGCCGTGAATTGCATAACAGCCAACATTGGTAATAAAAAAAAAACGGCATTGACAGGACATTTTTTTGCACAGTGTCCTGAGTGACAGGCGACATCCGCAAGCAGACGGACCCAAACGGCAGGCAACTTATCGTGCCACTTGACCGGTTGCCTCTTGTGGTTTTAGTTTTAACGAAAAATGGAAGTGGACTCTGAAAACTGGACTCAGTTGAAATCATTGTTAAATAAGCTTACTTAATTTGTATTTTTATGAATATAGTGTAGAAGGAGTCGTACCTCCCTTTTGTTTTAGAACCCTAGCAGGAAGACAGACGGAAGTCAAAAAAATACACGCCACAGTAATCTAGACTGTCCCGAGACTTGTGCTTCTAATGCGTTGTCTCCCATCTTGTTTGGGAAACTTCTCCAACATCAACTTGCCCATTTAAACGCGAATAGAGTAACAAAATGCCCAGTAAACTTATAAATTAAGAAGAAGAATCGTCACTGCCCTTAATTTATCTCTGCCTCTCCTGCTATGTTTCACTCCTATTTCTCCAGCTTATTCTTTTACGTCTTGCACATGTCCTTATGTTGTCAATTAAAGAAGAAAGTGCAAGCGTTCGTCGAGCCATCTCTTGCCTAACAAGGGCTTTGCTAGCGAATTGTTTGACAACAAATCGAGCTTTTGTCACATCAATAAACATTATAAACCAAAATATTGCATTTTTTGAGATTTTTCAAACAGTATGATCATATTGGATCCACAGGTAATACATACTCCCTTGGAGATCACTTTTTAGTGTTTTTGAGCTTTTGCAGAAATGTGTAAAGTTTCGCCCTGGCAACAATTTTCGCCTGATCCCAAAGTTATGTACCAAAAAAATAGCATTTTATAAGCCCTTTCGATGCATGTAGGACCTTTGAGCAAAAAATAGACCCTTAAATCCAATTTTAAGTGTTTTGGGACCTTGTTTTGGCCAAGATGTTGAGCTACATCGCCCAGACTTGTTGAGCTACATCGCCCAGACTTTGCAGGAATATAGAGAGACATATTACGCACCCATCGCGAGATAGCCGCATCCTGGGCGATGATCCCTAGTTTGGTCCCTGTAGGGTTAAAAGTGCCATTTTTCACTATTGGACCCAAGTTTGGAGCCTCCAAAGAGATGGAAGGTAACGTCACCAGACACCGGCATTGTGTGATCTCTCTTCTAATATGGTCAACTGCGAAGAAAACCACGGACCAAGAGGTGGTCCACGTTTCAAAGCGTGGACCAAACAGTGGTCCACGTTTCAAAGCGTGGACCAACATGGTCCACGCCTTGAAGCTAAGACCTGGTCCACACTTGGATTAACAGTGAGACGTTTTCGCCACCATACAGGTGGTCAAACGCGCCAAACGATTTTCGCTACTTTGGTGCAGTAAATATGCATGATTTCAAACGCAAAAAACACTTATTGGCTAAGTGACAGCGAAGCCCGTTACTCCAGTGGGGTCAAAAGACTTCTTGTCTGCGTGCGTGTGTGTGTGCGCGTGCACTACTACTCCTGAACGGCTCGGCCGATCTGGCTGAGATTTTGCAGGGTTATTAGGTATGTTCTTGGCTCGCCACACACCAAAATGCAGCTTACTATCTCAATCCATGTAATCATTACAGCCAAAAAACGCATCAAAAACGGCGAAAAAAAGAACTTTTTACTGACTTATGTTGCCATGTTAAGTTTTACACCACTTCATATGTTTCGGAGGGTTCTGAAAATGAAAATGGAATCTATTTTAACTTCCGACCAACGTTTGAGGCCAAGTGGGAGAAAAGTTAGCCAGAATTGAAGGGGAGTCGAACCAAAAATGTAATACAGTTTGACCAGCAAACCAACCTCGTCGCCCCGTACATGTAAAGGGGGAAGAAAAGGGGGGGGGGCAGCTGAAAAGTTGGAACCGAATGCTGCTTTGAAGTGCGATGTCTCTTTGAGTGGCTATATGTGGCGAGTCTGCCGAAGGCAGTCCAGTCCAGCGCCGCAGGCTGGCGCACACCTACCTTTGTTAATTTTTGTCCAGCACTCTTTTCATTGACACCACGTGAAAGGGTGTTTCTTTATGACAGTATACATACATTTACATTTGATTTTTGACGATTTTTATGGTGTCCAGCTTCATTTTTAACACTTATAGAAAATTGTCAAAATTTAACCTTTGCTGAGGAGGCACTTTTATGTTTAACGAGGTTTAACGATCTCCTCAAGTCCTTGCGGAAGCCAACATGCCAAGGAACAAAACCCAAAAGGATTAGCTCCAACTACCAGCAACTTTGAGTTGTAGGGTCTCCCAAACATCGCCTAATAGGAGAAAAACGGTCCCGCGCAGCGCAACGCTTCCCCGCGCAACGGAGGTGCTGCTGGACAGTTGTTTGAAATGATTAGAGTTTGTCAGAGTTTGTCCTCAATGTGAGTTGGTGTTCAAAATGAAAACACTAGAAGCCTTCTACAGCCTGCAAGAGAAATGGAGAGAACCAAACTCCGAGCAGGTTGAACTTTTGACAAAAGTTCTAACACAGTGAGTAGTGAGACAGAAGGATGCGGTCTCCAAATTCGGATTCCTTATGAAAAACTGAGTCAGGAACCGTCGGAAAATATACCAGATCCAAGGTTTGCCGTCAAAAACATCAAATTTTGACAAAAAACCGGGTTTCATATGAAAAATTCTGCTCTTGATAGAAGGATGCGGTTTTCGAATTCGGATTCCTCGTGAAAAACTGAGTCAGGAACCATCAGATAATAAACCGGATTCAAGGTTTAAACACCACAAACCCGCCAAAAAAATTCACATACTCTCGAAAATTCTGAGGTTTGTAGGATTATTTAAAATTTCACTTTAGGTTCACGGATGAAGTTGGGAAATTTTGATTTCTTGTTAATAACTGAGTTGGGAAACATTGGACAGTGTTTTTTTATTTCTTTGGTTAACATTTTCCAAGTCAACAAAGTATGCTTCCACCACATCGCGTCGTGTTTCAAAGTGCTTTCTAAATTGTCTGAATTCTAACAATTCACGCGTGATACTAACACATTTTTTTGTCAATAGCAGGAACTAGATATATAATTTATTAAATTTTGTGTTGAATTCAGGTCATTGATAGAGTGGGCTCGGCTGATGCTGTTGCAGTGAGCTTTCACATAGCGCTCAAAATTGCGCAGACAGGGAGGCCCCACTCTGTAGGCCCGTTTTTTTTGAAAGAAATTATGTGTTTGGCCGCTGCCGTTCTATGCCCTGCTGAGGAGGCAAAATTTCAAGCTCTGAGCCCGTCCCGCTGGACTATAGATAGGCGAGTGATAAGATTCTTCCTTCATTCGCAGGGACAACGCCAGGTTGCCAAAGCCTTCACTGTTCTTCTCCAGCAGCTAGACCTTGCAACTCGGATCCTGAATGAGAAACCTCCAGAGAAAACTTGTTCTCCTGAAAAGGCACTCAGCCTTTTTTGAGGAAATGGGTTTCTCAAAGAATGATGACCAAATCCTTCGAAATACTGCTGTTGAAAATAAATTGGTTCTTGTGCCTCCTTACTCCACTGTCGCTCCCGCCAAGCTAAAATGCTACCCGAATAAACATGGTTTTCACTGAAAAGTCAGCGGAGGTGCCACTTCAATCACTTCTAGATCAAAGCATCTAGACTTTTAGAAGTGATTGGACCAAAAGTTTTGGACACTTAGAGGAAGGCAGTGAAATTTCCCTTTTCCCTAAATACCGCATTGCCACCCTAAGGGCGTGCATCGTGTGTGGGAAAACGTTTGGGTACGGTAAAAACATGGGGGAGGGTATGAAGAAACATTACAACATCGACCACAAGCGTAGTAGCTATTTGGAAGTTACGTGTGGAGTAATCCCTGTCACACCATCGTCTAGGTGGGAAGGACGATGTGTGGTGTTAGAGCTGTGGCAGGCCATACTAAAAATCAAATTGAGGCAAATGTAGATAATTTTTTCTTTCTGCTTTTTCAATTTTCCTTTTCATCCCTTTTCTTGTAGGCACCTGGGCCTAATTATTCTCCTTCGGGATTGGAATTATACAGAATTTATGCGAGTGTGCCAAATGCCCCATTTCCCAAAGGACAGGCAACGTTAATTCAGGAGGCAGGAAAACTTGATTGGAAAGGCAGTGATTTTGACGAAGCAAAGGAAACTTTGCGCCGCCTTTCGTACGAATTCCAAAGACGCGCAAAGACTCCTGGAAAAACTAGACTTCATGATCCTCACCACTCATGCTCTGGCTGGATGAATGAAAAGGTGCATTTTAAGGTAACACCAGAAGTAAAGCGGCCAGGACGGCCTTCCTCATTTGAAAATCTTACGGAAAAGAGGAAAAAGGAGCGCGTGGATTCGCTACGCAACCAAGGATCTACTGCGGAACTTGCTCTCGCTACTGAGATGAATGCGAGGGCTGATGGAAATAAAGATGCAGCTAAACTCATTCATAAAATTTTTAACGATGAGTCTCAAAATGAGACTGCAAGAAAGATCCTGTGATAAAGTTGCATGAAACAGCACCTGAACGCAAAGTCTTCTCAGATGATGACGCTTGATCATGCTTCACCTTGACCTCGGTAAAGAGGACTACTT